CTTATCCACGTAGCATCTGCTGAAGCTATTTTGTGTGATCGATGCAGACGAGTTAGCATTCCCTCCCCGTGGGTAATGAACCTTGGGTGCCCATGATTTTTATACAAATAATTCTAGTGTAAAAACAAATATTTTAAGAGTGGACTTTAATAGTTACAGTGATACCTCAATTTGTTTTCCCATATTTGCAAGGTATTCCTGAAAGACGTTTTTAAATAGACTTTAGAAATTAAATATCAATTTGTTGAAAAAAAAAACAAAACTATAGCTATAAATATGTGTGACGAAAGTCACTTCGCCACTGGGCTTTGGAGAAGGTTACTTGCCAGCCTTTTACCCTGTGACTATGGCCCCTTTAATTTATTTTGGCTGAGAGACCCTAATTGTGCCTATTGGACTTTAAACATTGTTTTTTTTCGAACTCCCGAACAATCAAAGTGGCCGCCATTCGACCACGTGGTGGTGGCCATCTTGTTCGCATGGGCTAAAACCGCGAATAGACTTCAGAGGGACTTGGCCGCGAATGCCCTGGAACTATTTTCGACATGAAAACCTTGCGGTTCCTGGTCGGCCCTTCAGAGGCACTTAGTCTCAAATCTATGGAACTGTTTTGGGCATGAAATATTGGGTTCGACTGGGCAAAAATATGACTTCCATAAAATTTCTGAACCCTTTATCTGATCTGGGTGATTTTTGGATATGTTGTTCACCCAGATCAGGGCTATCAGGGGATGTGTTATGTTTTGGGGTACTTATGAGACTTTATAAAAATGTTTGTTTTTTCTGCCTGTGGATAATTAAATAATGCATTAACTACTTTAATGATATCACAGGCAGAGGGGAGGGATTGTTTACTTTATGTGGGAGTGTCGTACTGTTAATTACAGTTTTGATTGGTTTGTACATCTTGTAATTCGGTGCTCCATCAGGTCCAGGGGGTGCTCCCCTGGCCTGAGGAATTATATAAAAATCCAGTCTGTGCCATTAAACTGTCAGACCTTCTTACCCTCAACTCGCAGTCTTATCTCGTGTTGTAGGGAACTGCTTTTTAACTACAAGGGATTGCTATGATCATCATCATCAGGGCCGGCCTTAGGGGTGTGTGAGCTGTGCAGCCACACACGGCTCCATGGACCAGGGGGCGCCATGTGGCCGACACAGCTCGCGCATGGCCGGTGTCAGGGGAGCTAAAGCAGGTACTCGGGTGGAGGATTAATTATTCTCTACCCGGGTCTATATAATTTTTTTTTAAATCGAGGCAGCGGGGGTGGGGCTTATAGGGAGGTGGGGGCATGGATTATATGGAGGCGGGGGTGGGGCTTACAGCGAGGCAGAGGCAGGGCTAAAACATACCCAAAGCCTCTGGTAACTCCTGCACAGTCCTGTTTCCCCATTATCCAACTGCATCCACTCCCCCTTCCAGCCATAATGGCAAGAGGTAAGTGTTTGTGTGTGTGTGTGTGTGTGTGTGTGATTGTATGCCTGTCTGTGTGTGTGATTGTCTGCCTGCCTGTGTGACAGTCTGTCTGTGTGACTGCCTGCCTGTGTGTGTGTCTGCCTGCCTTTGTGTGTGTTTGACTGTCTTGTGTTTGTGACTGTGTGTGTGTTTGTCTGTCTGTGTGACTGCCTGCCTACCTATGTGTGACTGTTTGCCTGTGTGTGTGTTTGACTGCCTGCCTGCCTTTGTGTGGGACTGTCTGTGGGACTGTCTGTCTGACTGCCTGTGTTTGACTGTTTGCCTGTGTGTGTATGTGTGTGTAACTGTCTGCCTGTTTGTGTGTGTGACTGTGTCTGTGTGACTGCCTCCCTGTGTGTGACAGTCTGCCTGTGTGTGACAATCTGCCTGTCTGTGGCTGTTTGCGTGTGTGTGTGCCTGTCTGTGTGACTGCCTCCCTGTGTGTGTGTGACTGTCTGCCTTCCTGTGTGTGTGTGTGTGTGTGACTGCCTGTGTGTGACTCCAATTGTGTGTGTCGCTGTAGCTGTGCCGTTGTGTGTGCCTGTGCCTGGATGTGTGACTATCTGCCTTTAACTGAGTGTGTGTGTGCCTGTCAGCGTGCGTGAGTGTCTGCATGCCTGTAACTGAGTGTTTATGTCTGTCTGCTTGTAATGAAGTATGTGTGACTGTCTGCTTTTAATTGTGTGCCTGTAACTGTGTGTGACTGTCTGCCTTTAACTGTGTGTTTGGCTCCCTGACTGTCTGCCTGTAACTGTGTGTGTGTGTGTGTGTGTGTGTGTGTGTCTGCCTGTAACTGAGCATGTCGGATTGTCTGCTTGTAACGGTTTGTGTGACTGGATACAGGCAACTTGGTGGTGGGAGGGGGGGGCACCATGAAGACTTTTCGCACAGGGCAACTAATGGCCTAAGGCCGGCCCTGATCATCATACTCCCTTGAACAATCACAAGCTCTTCAAAGAGCTGTGCCTGCTTCGCTCTCTGAAGGAAGAGACGATCACCCACTGGAGCCTGGAGCCTTGTTGTAGGTCCAGGGTGGGTAGGAGATGGCGACCCCAACCAAGCGGTTCGTGGGGTCTGCAGTGCTATTGAGGTTTGGTGCGGTGCTGATGGTCCTTGGTAAGCTCTGGGAGCAACGATTGACGGAGGGTCCACCACAATATGGATAACATAATATCTGAAAACTGAACAGATTGAACATTAGAATATAAAGAAAAAAAGTGTAATGGATGGAAGTATGAAAAAGACTTCAATTGTTGAGAACCAAAAGGAAATTTAGAATATGCATGCCCAAATATAAGTATATTCTTAAGAGAGATCCATCAATATTTTTTTATTTTTTATTATTCAGCAGTAAGTTAACTCAATTCAGATAAGTCTCGCTATCAAGGCATTTCTCACACTTTTGCTGGTCCTTGAAGCTTAATATGAGTTTTTAAAGAGAAGTACATAACTTAATTTAATATATCTGCAGTAAAAACATGGACATGCTGTCTCATTGTCAATCATAGCAACAGGAAGACCTTTACAAGTTTCTGAAATGTATATTAAATTACACAGAGTGTACGGACATCATAGAGCTAATCTAGTCTTATTGTGGTTAGTACCTAGAATTCCAGCAGCAGTACTCTGTATGGCCTGTGGCAAGTGGCTGCAATTCTTTCTTATTTAATATTCCCTGTTTGTATCGCACATCCATTTTCCCCAGCAGGAGCTGTATTGTGCCTCTCTAATTACAATCAAAAGCAGTCTCCATTTTGGAAGCTTCACAATGCACCTAGTCAGGAACCTATTCTCTTATTTTTGTCTCCATTCTCTACTTTTCTACTTTTTAAACCAAATCTGTGATAAGATGAAAAAAAAACACCCCACACATTTACAGTGCATTTTTGACACTTTTACCACAGAACAAAGTGGAAAAATGCATTACAAAACATAGGGCAGAATTTGGATACCTGTTGGCAGGGCCGGACTGGGGATACAAAGCAGCCCTGGAAAAAAATCTATGCCAGCCCCATAAGTCATTGTGCTATGTAGGGTGTTATATATTAAAGGACCACTATAGTGCCCTGAGGGTGCCCCCACCCTCAGGGTCCCCCTCCCGCCCGGCTCTGGAAGGGGGAAAGAGGTAAAAACTTACCTTTTTTCCAGTGCTGGGCGGGGAGCTCTCCTCCTCCGATCCTCCTTCTCTCCTCCCCGTCGGCTGAATGCGCACGCGCGCAAGAGCTGCGCGCGCATTCAGCCAGTCACATAGGAAAGCATTATCAATGCTTTACTAAGGACGCTGGCGTGCTCTCACTGTGAAAATCACAGTGAGAAGCACGCAAGCGCCTCTAGTGGCTGTCAATGAGACAGCCACTAGAGGAAATAGGGGAAGGCTTAACCCATTCATAAACATAGCACTCTGAAACTGCTATGTTTATGAAAAAATGGGTTAACCCTGGCTGGACCAGGCACCCAGACCACTTCATTAAGCTGAAGTGCTCTGGGTGCCTAGAGTGGACCTTTAATGTGTATATATATATATATATATATATATATATTATTGATAGATTTCTTCTTCTTATTCAAAATATTAGTCCTTTCAGGGTAATTAAATTATACAGTAAAGCATACTCACACACAGACACAGACAATCTTACTGATGCACACAAATAGGCTCATTGACAGACAATCTCAATGACACACACAGACAAGGTTACTGGCAGACACACAAATTTAGTACAGACAAACTCTGATACACACACACGCTCACTACAGACAAGCTCACTGACACACACGCTCACTACAGACAAGCCCACGATCACACCCATGCTCCTTACAGACAAGAGCTCCCTAACACACACACATGTGACCCCTACAGACAAGCTCACTGACACACATACAAGCTCACTCACTAGCAGGCACACACACACAGAGGCTCCCTCACTAGCAGGTGCGCACACACACACAGAGGTAGACAGTCACTGACACCGAGGCAAACATCCACACATACAGACAGGCAGACAGTCACACACACACAGGCAGACAGCCACACACACAGGCAGACAGTTACACACACACAGTCACACAGACAGACACACACAGACGGTAACATACACAGGCAGACAGACACACACAGACAGTCACACACACAGCACACAGTCTCACGCACACAGACAGTCACACACAAACACACACTAACAGTCACACACAAAGCACACACCAACAATCACAGTCACACACACACACACACAGTCACACACACAGACAGACAGTCACAGTCACACACACACAGGCAGTCACAGTCACACACACACAGTCACACCACCACAAACAGACAGTCACACACACACAGTCACACACACACACAGACAGTCACCAGTCACACACCACACAGACAGCCACCCACACAGACAGTCACAGTCACACACACACACAGTCACACACACACAGTCACACACACACAGCTCCACACACACAGACAGTCCCACACAAGGCATAGCCCACAAATCACACACACACACAGTCACCAGCCACACTGTGCCCACACACACACAGACACAGTCCCACACAGACAGTCACACACAGACAGTCACACACACACAGACAGTCACAGTCACACACACACACAGTCACACACACACACACACAGTCACACACACAGACAGTCCCACACAGACAGTCACAGTCACACACACAGTCACACACACAGACAGTCCCACACAGACAGTCCCACACAGACAGTCACACACTCACAGACAGTCACAGTCACACACTCACACACTCACAGACAGTCACAGTCACACACAGTCACAGCCACAGACAGTCACAGTCACACACACAGACACACAGTCACACACACACACAGTCACACACACACAGACAGTCCACACAGACAGCCCACACACCACCACACACAGTCACACACACAGTCACACACACAGACAGTCCCACATTAGACAGGGCCTCCACACAGACAGTCACAGTCACACACCCACAGACAGTCAACACAGTCACACACACACACACACACACACACACAGTCACACACACACAGTCACACACACAGACAGTCCCACACAGACAGTCACAGTCACACACACAGACAGTCACACACACAGTCACACACACAGACAGTCCCACACAGACAGTCCCACACAGACAGTCACAGTCACACACACAGACAGTCACACACACAGTCACACACACAGACAGTCCCACACAGACAGTCCCACACAGACAGTCACACACTCACAGACAGTCACAGTCACACACTCACACACTCACAGACAGTCACAGTCACACACTCACACAGACCTCCTTCTTACCTCCTGTTTGTTGCTCCTGCAGGCTGGTTGTTGGGGAAGCAGGGACTCCTTCCTGCTTCCCATGCTGCAATTAGCCGCCCCCGCCGCACAGTAAGCTCCGCCTCCGCCGCACGCTAAGCCCCGCCGCACAGTATGCTCCGCCTCCGCCGCACAGTAAGCCCCGCCCCCGCCGCAAATTTTTTTTTTTTTTTTAATGATCCCGGGCGGCCATGTGTGAGCCGGCCGCCTGGCTCCCCCTGCTCCCAAGGGGCTATGTGCGGCCGCACAGCTCACACACGGCCGCCGGGATCACAGGAGCTGTCAGACCGGCCCCAGGTGCCGCGGCCCACCGGGAAATTTCCCGGTATCCCGGTGGGCCAGTCCGGCCCTGCCTGTTGGCATTTAAAAGGGTTAGATTCCTTGAGTTTGCCGATATAGTGGAATATTGCCTGTAACGTGGTTTTCAAATAGATCAAAGAAAGTCAGCGGCACACAACAAATCTTGTAGTCATAAGGCTAGTCAGGGCCGGATTAACATAGGGGCTGATGGAGCTGCAGCTCCAGGCCCAGGCCCATGGAATAGGCCCATTTAAAAAAAAAAAAAAAAAGTTACTTTTTTTCTTTTTTTTTTTTTTTTTTACACACTACTCTTAGGTTTGCCACCTGACTTGTATTTTAAGGCACAGACGGTATTTAAGGCTGCCTGGAAGTGACGGTATTGCAATAATACCGGCAATACAAATGCAAATATTTTTCTCAGTATAAACGGAGATTACTCTGCAATACCAGCACTGGCCAGTAGGGGTCACTGTGTATGGAGAGAGGCAGGGATAGGAAGTTACAGCATCTCCCTGCCTCTCTCTACTCACTGATCCGCGGGGGAGCAGCTACACAGCACAGAGAATCTAGACAGCAGCTCCCAGCCTGCAGAGACTACAGCTCAGGTAAGTGAAGGATGGAGGGAAAGGCAGCAGGAAGACATGGGGACACTGAGACACTAGGGGACACTAGGGGACACTGAGACACTAGGGGACACTTAGAGACATGGGTACACTGGGCGATACTTTGGGATACTAGGAAACATGGAGACACTGGGAAACATGGGGACATTGAGACACGGGGACGCTGAGACACATGGGGACGCTGTGAGACATAGGGAAACACATTGGGATATGGAGACACTAGGGACACAATGTCTCCATGTCTCCCAGTGTCCCCATGTCTCCCAGTCAGTGTCCCTAGTGTCTCAGTGTCCCCATGGCTCCCAGTGTCCCCTAGTTTCCCAGTGTCCCTTAATCTCCCAGTGTCTCTGTCCCCATGTCTCTCAGTGTCCCATGTCTCTCAGTGTCCCAAGATGTCTGTGTCCCCATGTCTACCAGTGTCTACATATCTCCCAGCCATTGTCCTTAGTGTCTCAGTGTCCCCATGTCTCCCAGTGTCCCCAGATCTCTCAGTGTCCCCATGTCTCTCAGTGTCCCCATGTCTCTTAGTGTCTCCATGTCTCCCAATGTCCCCATGTCCACAAGTGCCCCCATGTCTTCCAGTGTCCCCAAGTGTCTGTGTCCCCATGCCTCACAGCCAGTGTCCCTAGTGTCTCAGTGTCCCCAATGTCTCCTGGTCTCCCAGTGTCTGTGTTCCCATGTCTCTCAGTGTCCCTAGTGTCTTAGTTTCCCCAAATGTCTGTGTCCCCATGTTTCCCAGTGTCTGTGTCCCCATGTCTCTGTGTCCCCATGTCTTTGTGTCCCTAGTGTCTGTGACCCCATTTCTCCCAGTGTCCCCAAATGTCTCAGTGTCCCCAGGTCTGTATCCACAAGTGCCCCCATGTCTCCCAGTGTCCCCAAGTGTCTCAGTGTCCCCATGTCTCACTGTGTCCCCATGTCTCTCAGTGTTCCTTTGTATCCTAGTGACTCGGGACACACTGAGACATGGGGACACTGGGAAAAATGGGGACACAGACACTGGGAGACTAGGGGACTGGGCGACACTGACACTGATACATAGGGACACTGATGCCAGGCTGGCCTTCCAATTCTTTGGATAGACATGCCCTTTTTTGGGCATGTTCGCCCCTTTTGACAGTTCTGGTCACGTGATTCGCATCAGTGGCCCACCATTTTACCCCGCCCATCGACTTCCTGCTTCACTGGACACTGCTGTTAGGGGGTATGGATTTACTTGAAAGATGAAAGCATATATTAGAGAGAGATTAACAGAGTATGTGTTTTCTTATAGCTGCATCCCTTGAGTTTCCCTCCAACACCAACTCAGATACATGATGCTTGAGAGCTATGACTGTTTTAGTGTTTTTGGTCGATAAGATTCTGTAATTAGGCCTCATCATAATTGTCAGCACCAGGCCCACTGTGCTCTTAATCTGGCCCTGAGGCTAGTGGACTCATAACTATATTTAAAAGGGTTATCATTAGTGCAAGTTAATTGCAAAATATGTGAAAATCATAACTCAAAAACAAATAAATAATATTTATATACACACACACACACACACGTTTGTTAGTATTTGGCATTTTTACTCTTATACAGAAGAATACCAATGGTGAAAAATACCTCTAAGCAGGGCCGGACTGGGAAAAAAATTCGGCCCGGGCATTTTTTTATCACAGCGGCCCACTAAGAAGGGGGCGGGGCAGAGAGGGTGTGTTTTGTCATCACTCATGACAAACACGCCCCCTCTCAAAGTGAGCATGTTGGTTCAATGCTCTTCCAGGGCAGACCATGCGCAGAGCTCCTGAAGAGCTATTTGTTCTGCACAGTGCAAGCAAATTTAATAACATGCTTGCACTGTGTTTCCTTGCAACTTGTCTCTGGTGTCTCTATAAATGGATACCAAGAGACAAAAGGGCCAGGAAAGAGTATTGTGCATGTGTTTGGAGCCTGCTTGTGGTATTGCGTGTGTGCAGAGTGAGCTGGTCGTGGTGTGGTATTGTGTAATAAGGTCGGTTTTAGTCGTGTTGTGTTTGTGGTGTAATGTAATGCATATGTGGCTAGGGGCTGTAGAGAATGTGTGTATAGGGGATATAGCAAGTGTGTGCATATAGGCTATAGTGTGTGTGTGTGTGTGTATAGGTGATGTAGTGTTTGTAGAGAGTGTGTGTTCAGGGAATGTAGTATGTGTTTGCTTACAAGGAATCTAGTGTGCATATAGGGGATCCAGAGTGTGTGTGTGTGTGTGTGTGTATATATATATATATATATATATATGTATATATATATATATGAGTCTTATGTGTGTTTGAAGGACCCAGACTATGTATAGGAGATCTAGTGAGCGTGCGTATATAACGGATTCAGAGTGTATATAGTGATCTAGTGTGTGTATGTGTGTATATGATCCAGAGTTGGCTAAAGGATCTAGTGTGTGTCTGGAATGTAATGTGTTTAGGGGTGCAGTGTGTGTGTGAGGGGTGCTGTGTGTGTGAGGGGTGTTGTGTGTATTATATATATATATATATAGTTTATATAAATATGTTTGGAAGTATTGTGTATGTGTGTGATGCAGTGTATCGGGGGGCTGTGTGTGTATGTGCGGGGTGCAGTATGTGTGTGTGATGGATGCTGTGTGTGAGGTGTGATGTGTGTGCTGTGTGTGTGAGGGTGCTGTATGTGATTGATTTGTGTGAGGGTGCTGTGAGTGTGGGTGCTGTGTATGATGTGTGTGAGAGTGTTGTGTGTGATGTGTGTGAGTGCTGAGTGTGATAGTGCTGTGTATGATGTGTGTGAGTGCTGAGTGTGATGTGTGTGAGAGTGCTGAGTGCTGTGTGAGTGTTGTGTGTTAGAGTGCTGGGTGTGAGAGTGCTGGGTGTGAGAGTGCTGTGTATGATGTGTGTGAAGTGTGTGAGAGTGTTGTGTATAAATGTTGTGTGTTGGGGGTAAATAAATAAAAAATTAAGTGGGGGTAAATATACAAAAAAAAACTAAGGGGGGAAATAAACAATAAAAAATAAATAAATAAACAATAAAAAAAAAACTAAGCAAAAAAAAAACAACTAAATCCCCCCCTCCCTTCTTACCTTTAGCCTGGGGGGGCAGGCCCGTGGTAGCTGGTTGGGGGGGGGGGCACAGGCACTCGTACACGATCCCTGGCAGTCCAGTGGTGAGTGAACACTCTCGCGAGATCGGGGTGTTGCCCTGGCAACGCTCCCGATCTCGCGAGAGGAACCCGGCGGAGCTGCAAGATAGAGCTCCGCCGGGTCCTCTCCCTCCCTCCCCAGCCACAGGTCTATTTAAATGGGCCGGTGAGGGAGATCTTTGATCTCCCCACCGGCCCTCCATGGAAGACAGCGGGGCCGGCGCTCGCATAGTGCCGGCCCTGCATAGACCGGCAGGGGATGTCCTGGGACCTCCCCTGCCGGCCTCGGCCCATGGCCACCGCGGCCCACCGGGCATTTGCCCGGTGTGCCCGATGGCCAGTCCGGGCCTGCCTCTAAGTATACATACTGTATGGGTCCA